TAACTATTAATGATAAAAATAACCAGCATTTATTGATTGCATGGTCTGTACCAGGTGCTATTTCCAATCCTTCATATCCCATCGAGATGCGCAAACGTGGCCACAGCCCACTCACAGTACGTCTGCGCGCATCCCGTGCACCTACCCACGTGCGTATGTGCATGTAGGCGCGGGAATGTCATGCAGTACCTACTGTGAGGTACACGGTTGCATATTTATTACAAAGGCACAAATCGCTGCAGACGTATTTTCCAGCGCGCACATAGGCACACTCATATGTATACGGTCTACACACTCAGTTCCCACACGTCCGCTTCCTCTCTTGCGCGATGCGCGCATCCTCCTGTGCAACGGGAGAGTGGTCCACACGTGCACGTGCACCCCCTGTTTGTGTCACAGGCTCCTACACGCAGCACACACAGATACGAACTCTCTGACCCTTTCTCCCACAGGGCAATTTATGACCATCCGGGCTCATGTCCGGATTTGCCATTAACATTAATGAGGTGATGTCGCCCGGGTGTTCGGAAACCCTTGCCCGGGCGGGGGTGGCGGGGTGGCAACAGGGAGAGGACAGAGAGGCCGTGGTCACAGAGGAACAGCTAATTATCCGGCTGACCAAGGTTTGATTGTTTTTCCCACGGCTTCCACCACTGTCCCCAACACAAGACCAGGTTCTGGCTACACCAGAGGGGGGTGGGGGCGGGGAGCAGGACTAGGGAAGGGGAGGGGAAGAAGGGAGTGGGAGAAGGTGGGGGGGCGGTATGGTGACTGACCCCCATTTCAGTGTTGCCCCTCCCCCTTCCTCAGGAACACTCTCTGCCTAGAGCTATCGGAATTGTTTCCTGAAATGCTTCAAAATTCTTAAAGGTGTGAGTCTCTGTGGCCCTTCCTGCCCCACAGTGAACCTGGTATCAGAGTCAAATTCAACACCTTCATTTCAGGAACTTTTATTTGCTGACCCAGGGAGCATAAAAGGAGTCCCACCCCTGTGTTACCACCTTATGTTACCATCTAGCACAGGACACAGTAATAGCCACGCACAGTGCTCTTTGCCTCCTCCGTTCTCTGAACCAGCATTTTATGAACCATGAGACATTGTTTTAAGCCCTTCAACTTCCTACAGTCACCCAAATCCATGAAAAACCTTTCTAAGCAGGAGTGAGTATGGGCTTCCCATGAACTTATTAATCAGAGAAATGTCTCCCGAGCCTTTTGGGCATTACAATAAGAAAGGGAAATTACAAAATGAAAATGCAGTAACTGCAAATAACCTCTGCACACCTCTTTGGGGGAAAAAAAGACAGCTTTTTTTCCCCCAAAGATTTTATTTATCTATTTGAGAGAGAGAGCATGAGTGCGGAGTGGGGGAGGAAGGGGCAGACGGAGAAGGAGAAGCAGACTCTCCGCTGAGCAGGGAGCCAGATCCCAGGACCCTGGGATCATGACCTGAGCCACCCAGGCACCCCACAAATGTGACTTTCACATCCTTCATGCATCTGAGGCTCACAGGGGTCCTGTAGGGCTAGCAGAGTAGGTAGAGTTATCCCCATTTCACTGATGTGGAAGCGGACTGAGAAGGGAGAGGTTTGCCCATGATCATGTGGCTAAGGAGTGGCAGGGCTGAGCCTTGGCTCTTTCAAGCCACTTCTCTGAATCACATACTCCATGTTCTCTGTCATTTATTTGTAGGACTTCCTCCCAAAGCGTAACATGGATTACATTCCATGTGCTTTCAGGGAACTTTTCGTTAAATCTCCTGAATTACCTGGAGCAGTCCTGGGGTGGAAGGTGGAGAGTGTGGTCCCCAGCCAGAGATTAGGGTCATGGACTCTGGTGCTGGGAGGAATCTGGATGTCCTTGTCTTCCCATAGACCTAGATGGGGTCGAGGCGCCTGGCTGGCTCATTTGGTAGAGCAGTAGACGCTTGATCTCGGGGCCCTGAGTTCGAGTCACACATAGGGTGTAGAGATTACTAAAAATAAAAAAGATAGAAATGGGGACATCAAGGGCTTCTTGAGCCCAGATGGCACCAGGATGACTGCCTGGGACGCCCAGATCAAAGACTGGGGTGCTAAGGGGGGCCTCCAAGAGTCCTGGTTTAAATATCACCTTCAGGCATGTCCCCCTAAGGAATCATTAGCTTGGTTTTACAAACAAGGAAACTGGAACCCTGACAAGTCATTAGGGCAACAGTATTTATTGAACACCTATTATTATATTATGAAGCGCTGAGCTCAGTACTCAATATGATGAAGGGCTAAATGAGCACAGTTCTCGAGGTGCTTACAGTCTGGTGGGGAGGAAAGAGTTTGAGACTTGGGATCACAGAGTCTGGGTCTGAGTTCCAGATTAGAGGGCCATTTGTTTTTGAACAAACAACCCTGATTTAAAGTCACTTTAACCTCTCTGAGCCTCAGTATTCACATCTCTACAATGGGAATGTTCCTACTTTCCTTTAAGCCTGCCATTAAAAATTAGATCTATAAAACGCCCATGCAGTGCCCCTCACAGACGTGGTCCCCTCTTAATTTCCTGCCAGGCTCTGTTCTGTTCACTTCTTACCCCTCCCTCCCTTCTGGCTACTCCCTCAGGATCGACCACCTCTTTTGGAAAAATCTGAACTCTTGGCCCAACCTTATCAACTCCCCCACCATCCCCAGCCACATCCTAGCTTGAACAGGAGGGATGCTGTGAGCAACACGGGGGGGGGTGGTCAATAGCTCTCCTCTGCAGCCTCTCACGTCATCCATCCCCCACCCAGAGGAGACGAGACCCACAGGCACTCCCTCCCTCTTTCTCTGGCTTCCTCAGCCCAGAACACAGTTTTTCCCAGGAACACCCACTTCACCCAGCCACTGAAGTCCTTTCTCACTGCTCTTGAGGAGCTGACTCCAGAGAGACAAATGCAGAGATCGACAAGCCCCGGGATGTCCTAGGAGAGCTGGCTCAAAAGCCCCCCTCGGGACATTTGCTCTCCTCTCTGCTCTGCAGCTTCACTCCGTTTGGTGAAGGTGGCAGGGTTTGGGGTGGGGACAGCTGTGGCAGGACTCTCTAGCTGGACAGAACGTTGCCCCCATAAGTTTGGTGGGGTCTGCCAGGACTCTGCAGAACCTGGGCAGCCTTCCCTCTCTGTCCAGCCTGGATGAGGGTGAGCATCCCAGATAGGGATGGGGACTCCTGGGTCCCTGCCCCTGCTGTGCCTCTGCTCCAGCCTGGGCCTCAGATCTGCTTCTTGGGCTTTGGTCTCCTATCCTATAAAATGGTTGAATAACCTGCCCCTGGCTCCCACCAAATCTACGCAACCTGGTATATTACGGGCATCTCATAAAACTATGAAACACACTTAAATGCCTGCAGTGCCATTCAGATGGAACTGGGGTCCCTTGTGGAAACTTGGACAGAGCTGTGGGGTTCAGGGTAGACCACAGCACATTCTTGGTGGGCGGATGGGCTGCCCAGGCCGAGGGGCCATGCTTCCCTGGCCCTGTCCTTCCTTCAGCCTTAAGCTGTAAAAATGCCAGCTACACAGAGCCAGAGATGCCTCAGAATTCTTTTCAGGGGCAGCGTGAGGCAGCGGGTCCCGCCAACAGCAACACGGGGAGCCTGCCGGCTGCCTGGGCACCCTGGTCACGCCCCCAGCACGGAGCAGCTTCTCAGCAGCTTGTTTCCTGGGGCAGGTGGACTGGCGGGAGTCTCTCAGCACTCCTCCGGAGATTGCATGGCCTGTCCTGTCCAGGGGCACTGGGGCGGCGGGGGTGGCCACTGGGGGATGCCTGGAAACAGTGGGTTGGGAGGGAAGTGGCCAGGAATGTGAGCAGGGAGAGCAGGGTGTGAGAACAAACAGTGAAACCAGCAGGAACATGGATGTGGATGTGGGGGCAGGTGGGGGGCTCTGGCTAGGAGCACTGGCAGGCAGTCACTGGAGGGCAGGGCAGGGGCTGAGGGATGGGTTCCCAGGATAGAATGTCACACTGTCCCCCAGCACTCAGGCGGGGGGGTGGCGAATGTGGTGGGTACTGGGGTTCCTCTCCCGAACCTGCAAGCCAGGCCTCTCAGTGCTTGAGAGGTCTGAGATCCTACAGGGAGAGCTGGGGTCTGGGCCTGCTATGGGTTCTATGCCCTTTCTACCTAAGGCTAAGGAGCTCTTCCCAGAAAAGGGCCCGGAGCGCTTACATGGGCTTGCAGAATCAGGGGCTCAGGGTCACCAGGCTGAGGAGGCTGTCCATTCCATTTCTGCCTCCTTGCAGTACAACCGAAGGCAGATGGCCTCCTCCCTCTGAGACCTCAGGTCTCCGCATCTGTACAATGGGGATAACACAACCTCTGCACACCGCTGCAAGGGGAGTGGGGCCAGGCGGACCGGCGTGGGCCTCTGGAAGAAGCCGACAGGGCCCCAGAGGTGGTCTTTGTGGATGAGAGGGTGGGCACTGGGGAGGAGGGGGAGGGACACGGAGCTCCTGAGTACCTCTCGCCCTGCTTACTTAACAATAAGCGCGTGATTGAATGCGGCCCGTAAATCCTTTTCCGCCTGGGCCTCTCAGCTACCGCACCACAGGCTCAGAATTCAGTTTTAAACAAGTCTGGGATTAGGGCTGCAGCTGTGAGATGCAGGGGGTGTCTGTGTGTGGCGGGGTGCACTGGCCTGGGGGGGCTGGCCACGCTGCTTCCTACGCAGGGACCGGGAGTGGGGGGCGGGCGTGATGTCTGCTGGGCTAGGAAGGAGGATGGCGCAGCAACTATCTCAAGAGAGGTCTCGCGCCCTGGGGAGGGTTGGGGCCTTGCAGAGGGGTCCCCAGAACCACAGAATCTCAGGGCTGGGAGGGACCCCAGGCTTCATCATGCCACCAGGCCCTGGGCTGTACCGGGCAAATTTGGAAAGGGAGGGGGGAGGATGGGAAGCCACAATGGGTCATCACTGGTCTCACTTTCCATATATGAAATGTCTTTGAAGCAGAGCCTGCTTCTCAGTTCCCATGAGGCTTTGTCTGGTGTTTCAGCTTTTCAGAGAGCTGGGAGCCAGGGTCGGAGAGGGACCCTGGAACCCTAGCTCGAGATGAGGATGAAGACAAGTGCAGCTGTGGGAAGCAGTCTTCAGATCTGGGAAAGGCTTCCCGTGGAGCCGGAGTGGGTGTCTGCAGGGTCACCCCACCTGGCAGGATTAATACCAGCGGGGGAGAGGCCACCCAGATCAGACAGCCCAGAGCCCCAGCTTCGTGGCAGGAAGGGTGCCGCCCTGGGAAGGAAGAGCGCAAGATCCCCGTATGGAAAGAGAGCAGCTGAGGTGGGTATCGCCACGTGGCTGGTTGCTACAGAGGAGAGTCGGCATCGCTGAGGGGGCAGCAGGTTTCGGATTTAAGAACCTGCACGGCGATGGCACCACTCTGCCTGCCCGGCTCGGACCCTGGCCTCACACTATCAGCAGTGCGTGGGCAAGTTACTTCATCTCTCCAAGGCAGTGACCATGAGGGTTAAAGAAGATAATAATTCAAGAAATGTTTGTCCCACTCCCCCAGGAAGGGTCTTGGAAATTCTACAGTGCATAGAAATGGAACCTTTCCCCATGAGCTGGTCTGTTCCAAGGCATAGTGGGATGTTTGTCCCAGGGTATGATGGTGGGATGTTTGCCCTATAGACCACTGACTCCTTTCTACACTAGCTAGACGTCCTTCCCTCAGCTCCCAGGACACCCTGTGCTTTGTGATTTCCTTGACTTCTTCCTCTACCTACTCTGGAGAGAGAGGGCCCGGGATCTCAACCACCTCTTTGGTTCCTGCTACCACCTTCACCTGCAGATCCTATCTCCAGCCTCACCTCTGTCCTGGACCCCTCCCTCCACCCCTCGCCCAAGCCAGACCCGCTCCTTCTCTGATTTCCTTGCTCACCCATGAGGTCAGCCCAGCCGCGACTCCTGAGCTCCATTACCAGACAGCCGTCATGGACAAGGTCCCATCAGTTCCGCCTTCCAAATCTCCCGGGTCCTCCTAGGCTCTCTTCCTCCTCACCAGAGCTGCTTCCTCTATCTGATTCCTCACAGCTTCTCTGGCATTTCATCCAGTCCCCCCTATACCCACCCCCCATCTATCCCCAGCAGGTCACGGATGAGTTGCTTAAAATGAACATTGTGTCATACTTTAAAAAGCTCTGACAGTTACCACTCTGGCCTACACTCCTCACATTTTCCTACCTCTGTGCCATGGTAGAAGCTTTTTCCTTTGCCTAAAATACTTTCCTCCGCTTCTCCAACCTCAGTGGAGCCTCCATCATTTCCTCAGGCTCGTTCCCTGTCCTAAAACCCTCCAGTGGTCCTTCTAGGCCTCCGGAAGCAAGTCCTGGGTCACGGTCCCAGGAGGCCTCCAAGACTGTCTTAAAGGGGTAACTGAAGGGAGTTGGATGCTGGGCTCTTTACAGCGATGTGAGCAGAGCTGAGGGAACCAACACGGGATGGAGCCAGCGACTGGCCTGAAAGAAACAGGGAGGCAGCTGTAGCTTCTAGAGAGGGGTCATCTGCGGCCATAGATAGAGGGACACAACTCCCTGCCCAGCTGTGGTCTAGCAAGACTGCTAGGGGGCCTCTCTCTCTTCCCCTCCTGAGATTACCTCCTGGTGCTTCCCACTGGCTCCATTCAACGAAGCCAGAGGGCAGGGGACCTGGGGTGATACAACCCGTGGGAGCCAGCCTCCCCAGAGAAGGGTGGAGAATGGACCTGGGGGAGAATAGCCCTCGTGGGCCCCAGCTCCCGGTGCGGTTGACTTGGCGCTCTGGCCCCAGCCCACCTCTAAGTGGCATGCCTTGCACACCCTCTAGCACTCCAGTGGGCCCCCGAACCCGCAGTGCCCCAAATTGCCAAGCCTTTACCTTTGCAATGCTGTTCCCTGGGCCCTTTCCTGCTTCCTGTGTTGGCTGAGACCTGCTCATCCTTGGACTCTCAGCTGTGCTTGTGCCTCTGGCCCGAGGCCCTGAGTCTGTGCTTCCAAGGCCCCCTGGGCCCACCTTCATCAGGCACTTAACTCTCATCGTCCCAGTCTCTTCACTCACCCTGAGGACTGTGTCTCAAAAGTGCTTATTTGCTGCCCTCCTTGTGGTAGGTGTTCACTGAAATGCTTCTGGAACCGAATCCTAGCGCCTGTGCCTCTGGAGAAGGCTCATGTTCTGGCCCCAAGACCGCCATCTCCTCGAGAGCAGGAAACAAGTCTAACTCCATTCGGTATCGCCCTAGCGCCTGATGCAGTGGCTTTTTCTTTCTTTCTTTTTTTTTTTTAAAGATTTTTATTTATTTATTTGAGAGAGAGAGAATGAGAGACAGAGAGCATGAGAGGGAGGAGGGTCAGAGGGAGAAGCAGACTCCCTGCCGAGCAGGGAGCCCGATGCGGGACTCGATCCCGGGACTCCAGGATCATGACCTGAGCCGAAGGCAGTCGCCCAACCAACTGAGCCACCCAGGCGCCCGCAGTGGCTTTTTCAATAAGGTTTGTCGATTGCTCGTATGAAGGAATGAATGTGTGGGAGGCAAAGCAGGCAGAAAGAGGGGGACAGGCAGACCCTGTGCTCCGAGAGTTCGGGGAAGACCTTGCTCCTAGCTACGGAGAATCAGGGAAGACTCTCCGAGGGCTAACTTGGAGCCGGCCCTGAAGGATGAAATCGTGAGGAGGGGCTGGGAGAAACACTTCCAGGCGGGGCATGGCATGGCCGAAGGGCCTGAAGGACGGGGGAGCGTCAGTTGCGACGTGAAGGGGGCCACCTAACTTCCTGGGCTTTCCTCTGGGCAGTCTGTCCCTCTCTTTTCCTCCTGCTTCTCTTCCCATTCCTGCCCTACCTCCTCCAGGAGTCCTGTGATATCTGCCCCTCTGGGTGCTCCTGGACTCTGGGGCTCCGCACCCCCAAGTGTAGCGCCCCTCCCCCTCTGCCCAGCCTGAGCTGGCTCCAGAGGCCGGTGTTCCCGTGTTCTCCCCCTGCCCCCGCTTCTTTGGGCCCTGGCTGGGAGCCTCTGAGGGCTTGAGCTGTGAGTTCGAGTTTGGACAGGAGCCTGCTCATCCCCCAGTGACGTGTTGGGGCTGTCTGGGCCACAGGGAGCCAGACGTGAAAACCGCCAGTCAGCGGAGCAGGGTGGCCGGCCACAGTGCGCCAGCCTGAGTGCCCGCCCTGCCCCTCCTGCCCCTCCCTTCCCTGAGGGATGTCCCCAGTGGACTGGCCAGTGGCCCGAGGCTCCAGGGGAACATGCTTTTTGCAGGCTGTGGCTGAAGGAGGATGAACCCGCTGTCCTGCCAGCTCTGTGTGGCGAAGAGGGAGGTGCCCTTTGCCAACCGGCACCCCATGGGACGCCAGCCCCAGGGAGAGTGACCGAGGCTCTGGCCTCTACTCCCTAACCCACTGGTCCTTTTCCCCTTGGGGCCTTTGATGGGAAGGCCAGAGCTTCCAGGACTGGGGGGAGTGACTCCCAAGAGGGTGTTCACAGGCCTGGGCTCAGGCCTGGAAAAAGCCCGTGTGGATGGAGGCCACTGACTTCTAGGGTACAAACCAGCTGGCAGACTGTGGCGGGGCAGAGAGCGGGGGCTCCTTCCATGGCCCTGGTGCTTGGGGCCCCTGAGGGCCCATTGCGGCTGAGAGCTGAGGCCGGGGGTGGGGGAAAGAGGCCAGAAAGGCCCCAACCGATCCTCCCAGGCCTCCTCCTCTGCCAGCCCTTCCCCCCAGCCCTCCCAGGCCTGAGGGCAGGCACCCAAGGGAAAGGGGCCCTCAGCCCGCTCCAGTGATGCAGACAGAGGCCTCCTCTGAGAGGGACCAGGCGTGGAGGAGTGGGCACCAGGGGGTGAGGCTGTCTTAGGGGGTGAGGAGTCTGAACTGGGCTTGCTCCCCACTGGTGGAAGGCAAACAAAAACAGAGCTCACTCTTACCCTCCACAGGCAGCCCCCCTGCAGTGAGGGGTCTACTTCCCTGGCTGTTGGTTTTCCTCCAGAGTAAGAAAGAGAATCAAGACAAGGATCCCATTTCCTTCAGATTCGCTTATTGCTTCAATCTGTCTCTCCCTCGGTGTTTGCCTTGTTTGTTCCTTCCTTTTTTCGTTCAGTAAATAAATGTATCTGAGTACCTGACAAGTACTTGGCCTTTTGCTTGGTAAGCTCTGGGGGCTCTGAAGAAGTGGGAAATGAGAGTTCCTAACCTTTAAAAAAAAAAAAATTATTTATTTGAGAGAGACAGAGAGCACAAGCCCGGGAGCAGCAGAGGGAGAGGGAGAAGCAGGCTCCCTGCCGAGCAGGGAGCGCGATGCGGGGCTCGATTCCAGGACCCTGAGATCATGACCTGAGCTGAAGGCAGACGCTTAACGACTGAGCCACCCAGGTGCCCCTTTTTTATTTTTTAAATTTTTATTTATTTATTTATTTTAAAGATTTTATTTACTGGCACAGAGAGAGACACAGCGAGAGAGGGAACACAAGCAGGGGGAGTGGGAGAGGGAGAAGCAGGCTTCCCGCCAAGCAGGGAGCCTGGTGTGGGGCTTGATCCCAGGACCCTGGGATCATGACCTGAGCCGAAGGCAGACGCTTAATGACTGAGCCACCCAGGCGCCCCAATTTATTTATTTTTTAAAAAAATATTTATTTATTTATTTGACAGAGAGAGACACAGCGAGAGAGGGAACACAAGCAGGGGGAGTGGGAGAGGGAGAAGCAGACTTCCTGCCCACCGAGCAGGGAGCCCGATGTAGGGCTTGATCCCAGGACCCTGGGATCATGACCTGAGCCGAAGGCAGACGCTTAACCGACTGAGTCACCCAGGCGCCACCCCCCGCCTTTTTGGGAGCAAAAATCTTCCTGATGAGTGATGACCAGACTACACCCCCTCTCTCAGCAAACTGCCTATGTCACCAGCCTGGGTTAACAATTCCTAAATGCTACCAGCCTCGCGGGGGAGGCAGACATGAAACCGAGAACTAAACACAGTGTGAGAGATGCTAAATGGGTTTGATTTCTGACTAAGTCTCTTACCTCTTTGAACCTGGGTTTCTTCAGCTTTGAAGGGGGAATACTTATATCACCTCCCTGTGTCACTGTGGAGAATGAATGAAACAAACTCTAGAAAGGGCCTAGCAGTGTCTGGTGTATATTAAGTGTTCATGTATATGAATCCTCTTTCCCTCTTATCCCTAGGTCCCTAGGAGATCGGCACTATTATCACTCCATAGTACGGAAGAGGAAACTGAGGCACAGCAAGGTAAAACAGTGTCACACGGCTGGTAGCAAAGCTGGGATCTACACCTCCTTGGTCTGGCATCAGAGTCTTTGCTTTAAGCCACCACTCTGTATTGCTTTTCTAGAGCGGCTCTGTTTCCTCACCATGGAATGAGCCTCTAAGTCCCACTCAGCTTCTTGCAGATCACTTCTGTTGGAACAAAGGATCCAGGAGAGAAAATGGAAGTCCTAGAGAAAATGTTCTGCCTTTCCTAAAAATACAAGTTCAAGTTTAAGCATCGAAGCAAGGAGGGGAAGGAAGTCTCCAAAGGACCAACTTTAAGGAGTGGTAGGAACATCAGCCTGGAGCTAGTAGAGCTAGGTTCGGGTTTTGGTTCTGTTACAAAGCCACCCCTCTAGGTGGTGGCAAGAATAAGATCTATAAAAGTGCTTTGAGGCCCTGTGTGCCTTCCATGGCCTGACCAAGGGCCAGCCTTATACCAAGGCCTCACATCCGGCTCTTCCACAGACTGTGAGCTCCACCAGGGCAGGGCCGGGTCTGCGCTTTGCTCCCAGCTCTTGGCCCCCTTGCTGGCCCATGTAGTGCTCTATAAATGCTTGCTAGATGAAGAAACCAAAGAGGCACCTCCCGAATGTCAGACCTTTACACCAAGAGACCTCCTTTCCTTTTCCCGTTCTGGGGGCCTGATACCTCCCTGTCCTGGGATTTCCAGGACAGCAGCCAGGGATGCCAAAGGAACATTTTTTGCCAAGGTCCAGGAGGAGCACCTGCCTAAGCCACCCTGACCTCCCCCTAGCCCTCTCAATCCTGAGTATCCCAGCCCTCAGGGTGCCTAGCAATGCCCAGAGTCTGCTGGACCCAGACCAAATCCCACAGCCCCCAAGGCACAGACAGGTGGCCCAAGAGGAACCAGGTCATTTCAGTTTCACACAGAGAAACTGCCAAAGTTTTTCTCTGAACACACTGGCCTTCTACCCACAGTCTCCCAGGGACCTATCCGGGAGAGCAGGAGTGCGTGTGGCTGAGCCCTCTCTCAGAATTTCATTTCGTAAAGTGCACCCTATATTCTAAGCCATGAGGTCAGTGGTTAGTTAAAGAGATCTATGGTGAATCCCTTTGTAAACTGGGGAGAGAATTCCTTGAGGGAACCTTTGTACACATCTAGATTTGTTTAAAGGAAAGCAAAAACTTGCCCCAGGCTTCCTGTTTCACAGAAGGGGAAACCAACGTCTTGAGGGTCCAAGCACCTTGCTGGGTGGGGGAGAATCTGAGTGGGGAGGAGGCCTGTCCCCCTGGGAGGAGCTGGGAAGGAGGGAGACTCTATGGCCCAGCAGGCAAGAGCCGGGGATGGAAAGGGGGGGCCTGCGCTGCCACGTGGGAGTGCCAGCAGGGGTGAACCAGGACAGCCTGCCCCAGCTGAGGACTGGCCAGAAGTCTGCTTATCTGACAGTCCAGTTTGGGTCAGTGGACCTCCATCCACGTGGATAAGACAGCATCGTGTATACCAGGGTCTGAGCCAGTGCCCAAAGCAGTGCCTGACAGGGCGGGGCTCGGCTGGTCATTGCTGGATAATCACCCAGAATGTCTAGAATGGAGTCCTCTGCTCGGCAGATGGTTATTAGTGAGGGAATAAGTTGGGTATGCAAAGCCCTAGGGCTCCATGGGTGTTTCTTGATCACCCTCTGTAGGCTTAGGGCAATACTTGGTGCTGCTGGGGGAGGGGTGTTGCCTGTGGATGGGGGTACGTAGTGGAATAATCAGCAAGCACGGTCAGTCCTCAGCCTGAGGAGGGCCCTCATCTGTAGGAGGGGGCTGACATATCCTGCCCCAGAGAATTTGAGGTTAGAGAACACGGCGGTAGAAACAGCAGAGTACATAAAAACTCCAGCCCTAGAATTGCTCATTCTTTAATTCATTTGTTTGACAACTATTTATTAAGCACCTACTATCTCCCAGGCACCAGTTTAGGCTCTGGGGATATAACAATGAAAAAAAACCGGATTAAACCCTCTTCCTTCATAGAGCTCACATTCTGGTAGGAAGAGATAGTAAAAAACAAGATAAACGTGTGCATACACATGTCAGTAGCCAGAATTGCTCTGAAGAAGCAGAAAGCAGGGTGGGGGGGCGGGGACATAGAGAGGCGATGGTGGGCTATTTTATGCAGGAAGGGCAGGTAATGCTTCTCTGAAAAAGTGACATTTGAGCAGAAACCTGCTGGAATGAGTCCTGTGGATATGCAGGGAAGAGCATTTTAGGCAGGGTGCAAAGGCCCTGGGGCAGGTGTATGTTGGTTGTGTTGAAGAAACAAGCGAGGCTGGAGTGGGATGATGGGGTGTGTGGAGGGTCTGAGTTCAGGGACGTAGCAGGGGAGCAGGCCACGTGGGGCCTTGGCAGTCATAGGACAACCACGTTTCCCGTGGGCAGACGAGGGATATGATCTGACTCACACTTTAACAGGCCCACTGTGGCCAATGTGTAGAAAATTCACTATAAGAGACCAGGTGTGGCTGAAGCAGGAGACCATTGCGAGGGCCCCGCAGCGGTCCAGGCAAGAGGCGATAGTGGCCAAGATAGCTGAGAGTAGTGGCCATGTGAGTAGAGGACAGAAAGCAGTGGGATTCCAGCTCTGCAGCTTTCTAGCTGTGTGCCCTTGGGCAGATTACTTAACCTCTCTGGGCCTCTATTTTCTCATCTAGAAAACAAGGTTGATAAAAATATCCACCTACTTACCTGGTGGGATTTTTGTGATGCTTGCACGAGGCATAAGCCCAGTGCCAGGCTCATACTTGGGGCTCCCTCAGGGACAACTCTTAGTCATTATTAACTCCCAGGAACCCAGTGCCCCGGGAACCACATATTCATGGTGGAATTAACAGAGCCCCAAACCCCCCGGAAAAAGAAGTGAGGGGTCAGTTGGCTTAGCGGGGAGAGAGCTTTAAACGTGTTTAAATCCCCAGGGTCTTAGGGCTCAGGAGGCTACTGTCCTCTCCCTGCCCGTCTCTTGCTCCCATGCCCCGGGGCAGAGGTGCCCTTGGCCTCTTGTTTATTTGTTTGCCTTTTACCTGCGTTGAAGTTTCAGCTGAGAAACCGGCCCCACCAGTTGCCGGGCCCAGCATCCCCTCCCCCCAATGGGCTTCCAGCTGTCCTGCAAAGTCCACAGTGCCCAGGAACAATGCAGGGGAGGGGACAGCTGGAAGTCTGACAGCCCTCTGAGCTCCCTGGCAAGCACGTGACCCCGGGGGGATGACTGTTGGAAGTAATGATGGGGAACAGACCCAGGGAAGGGGGAGGACTAGGGAGGAAACTCAGGTCTCTGGGCAGGTGCTGGGGGCCGTGGTGCCTGCAGGACTGGCTCTCCCGGCTCGGGACCCGGCCATGGCTCTGCCAGACAAGGGATGGCTCTCAGGACAGCTGGGGACATTTGCCTGCCCTGGAGGACATCGGCATAGAAGCCTGAAGGGACAGGCCCAGAAGGGGTTGGTCTAGCCCTGCTGCACCCGTTTATTGATTCCCTCTTTCATCTATTTATTCCAAATACTGAAGCCTATTGCGTGCCTCAGCCTGGGCTTAAAAATTTTCCTCCTACAAGGAACGTTTCTTAGAGAAAGTGAGAGGAGAGAGAGGAAGTGACTTTTCCAAGGTCACGTAGTAATTTTCTGCAAAGCCCTTCCAGGACTCCTGACTCCCTGTACAGTGCTCTGACCAGTAAGTGCCCCTAATGCTCTGGCCACCTCTTGGGTGGCAGAGGCCAGCCTGTGCCTGTCTCTGGGAGCTCCCGCCTTAGGCCATCTACATCTGCCCGGTTACCTGGGAGGGGGCGGGTGTGTGTGTGTGTGTGTGTGTGTGTGTGTGTGTGTGTCCTGGACCAGCCGGGGAGGGGTGGCGCCTCTCAGCCATGTGGCTTCAGCCTACTCAGGGTCATCTCCCTAGATCAGTTTTTAAGTGGGAATGGATTTGTCTGCCAACTTGTCAAGGTCACTGTGGGGAACACGAACATGTTTTTCTAAAGCCCTCCCTCCCCCCCAACAGAGAGGAGCAGTGCAGGTCAAAGCAGGGATGGGGGCAAGAAGGTGAGTTCCTGGTTCCTGGGCTGGGCATCTGGCTTGGCAGCTAATAAGCCTGTCACTTCTGGGAAGTCTGTGGCTGTGGGTAGTGGGGGCTGTGGGGAGAGCCACCCTACCCTTGGGGAGTCTACTCAGGGAGACACAAATGCTGCCTGTGGGGAGTCCCCAGGCTCCTAAACCCGAGGGCTTAAATTCGGAAGAGTTTATCCAGTGGTTCTGTGGGCCCCACTGGCCCCATGGCACCCCAGAAATTGGTGTGTGAGCTAGGCACCTACCCTAATCTCCAGCTCAAAAAGGTAGGAGGCCTCCACCTCTGGCCATGGAGACTGACACACACGGGGTCTCCCGGCCCCTCCGTGCCAGATGGCCAGACCTGCTCTGTCTTTACACCTCTGGTCCCCATGCAGCTGTGTGTCCAGTTCTGTCTAGTCTCGCTCCTTTGGCACCGCTTCTGGAGTCAGGGTTGGGGGGGGCGTGGTGGGACCCAGCAGTGACTTCCATGAGACTATCACTCTAGGGGAGTGCCCCATAGACAGCCCTGTGCACGGCCACCGCTCACATGCACACACACACACACACACACACATCGGCCTCTCTCAAGTCCCCGTGTTGCTGGACACTCAGAATTATGGATCCAGCCACCCAAGACCACATGCTGACTGTTGCCCCCAGAATAGGCCCGTGGTCCAGCCTGGGCAGCCCCATCCTTCCTCATTGGCCTCAGCATCTGTGTCCAGGTGGCTTTGGGCCTCAGGCCGCACCCCACAAGGCTCTTCTCCTTGTTGTAGGCTCTGGCAATGCCAGCCTAGCCGAGAGAGATGCCCAGAGCCTGCTTTGTATCCGGCCCAGGCTCCCGGTGCTGGGGAGGGTGGTGGGAATAGTGCTGAAGGTCAGGGCTGGGGCCAGCGGGGCCTGGGAAACTGCAGAGTCCACGGTGGGTCAGGAGGGCCCAGC